TTAGGAAGGGACTACATTTATATATAAATGTAGCCAGAGAGATACTAAATAATACCAGCCAGCTGTTTCATTTTCACCTCAAGTATCTAAAAAGGGATACTCACCAGAAATAATCAGCACAAAAACACAATTGAACAAAACTCAGTGAATCTCTGCTGAGCCCCAAGAACTGATGTGTACTTAAATAGTATCTTCAAAGTGTTATGTTTAACGTTTCTGGTTAGTTAATTTTGTGCTTCCTTTCTACCCACCAAATTCACCTTATTATAAGCAATACATTTGCTTTAAAAAAAATTCTTCACATTGAAATGTTATTTTAATTTGAAAAAACACTATATTGCTCTAAAATTGTACACTTCTTGAGGGCTTCTTTAAAATAGTTTGAATGGATTTTTGGCACCTAATTTACTGTTATCCTAAAATTGCTTTGTACCATAGGAGTATAAACGCCTATGTTTTCCCTATGGGAGGAAAAAATATATTTTAAAAGGAGAGGAAACCAAAACTGGGAAAATAGCAGAGAAACATATTCACACATATAAGATACTAAGAACACACATTTGTGGGCTGGCCTGGTGGCATAGTGGTTAAGTTTGGCCGTTACGCTTCGGTGGCCCAGGGTTCGTGGGTTCGGATCCCGAGCACGGACCTATGCACCACTCATCAAGCCATGCTGTGGCAAGCATCCCACATATAAAGTAGAGGAAGATGGGCATGGATGTTAGCTCAGGGCCGATCTTCCTCACAAATAAATAAATAAGAATACACATTTGCAAGCAACTGGAAGGTGCTTCCATTTTCCCACCGCTCTGGGAGGGCTGGAAAAAGCATTACTTTCATCCTATTATGTTTACTCTCAGCTTGTTGTCATACATTTGGCAAAGTGGTATTTTCCATATGCAAATTCTCCTTATACAAAATAAGATTTCCAATTGCTTCATTTCACGTGCACATTTTGAGCACCTTTGCATTTAACACAAATTTTACCAAGTGTTTATGGTGTTATAAACTTTCAGTATATAGAAAGAAATAAATGTCCCTTTCCTCATGCCCTGTCAGGGAGACAGATGTGTATTGGAAGAACCACAGAAAATGTGATAAATGTTGAATACAGAGAATGAAACTCCTTATGTGGCCTATTAGGGAGAGGTGATCTGGGAAAGCTTCCTGGAGGAAGCAGTATGTGAATTGGGTCTTCAAGAATGAATAGACTAGGGCTGGGCCGGCGGCGTAGTGGTTAAGTTTGTGTGCTCTGCTTCAGCGGCCCAGGGGTTCGCGGGTTCAGATCCCGGGCACAGACCTATGCACCACTTATCAAGCCATGCTGTGGTGGTGTCCCACATACAAAATAGAGGAAGATTGGCACAGATGTTAGCTCAGGGACAGTCTTCCTCAAGCAAAAAGAGGAAGATTGGCAACAGATGTTAGCTTAGGGCCAATCTTCCTCACCAAAAAGAATGAATAGACTATACTTAGAAGGGGTTAAAATGGCATATATGTAATAAAAATATTTTTTAAAAAGCACATTGAGGTTTATCCTTTTAGAATACTGCCACTGTTATGTAGAAACCCAAGATAGCCACTAGAGAGGCCACAAGGAGAAAAACTAAGGTGCCTTGGCCAACATCTCCAGCCATTTAGACCTTCCAACCATTCTAGCCGCCATTTGACTGAAAGTACATGAGCGAGCCCAGGCAAGAGGGGCAGAAGAACCACCCACTAAGCCACAGAATCTTGAGAAATAATAAATGGTTGTTGTTTTAAGCCACTTAAAAAGAAAAAGAAGGGGGCCGGCCCAGTGGGGTAGTGGTTAAGTGCACGCACTCTGCTTTGGCGGCCCAGGGTTCACGGGTTCAGATCCCGGATGCGCACCGACACACTGCTTGTCAAGCCGTGCTGTGGCAGCGTCCATATAAAGTACAGGAAGATGGGCATGGATGTTAGCCCAGGGCCAGTCTTCCTCAGCAAAAAGAGGAGGATTGGCATTGGATGTTAGCTCAGGGCTAATCTTCCTCACACACAAAAAAAGAGGGGCTGGCCCCATGGCATAGTGGTTAAGTTCGGCGTGCTCTACTTCGACGGCCTGGGTTTGGTTCCCGAGTGTGGACCTATACCACACATTGGCAGCCATGCTGTGGCAGTGACCCACATACAAAATAGAGGATGATTGGCCACAGATGTTAGTTCAGGGCGAATCTTCCTCAGCAAAAAAAAAAGAGTAGGAATTTGCTGAGTGGAGAGGGAAAGGGCAATTGAGGCCTGAGCAGGAATTGCTCAAGCAATTGTGTTTCAGGAAAGCAAATGCATAAAGGGACCTGATTCTTGCTACCCATCTTGGTGTGCCAGGCCCTAAGAGCTGGCATTTATAGAACAATTCCTGTATGCTGGAGAATGTTCTAAGCACTCCATGCATTACCTCATTGAATCCTCACAACCTAGATGAGGAAACTGAGGTAGAGAGGAGGCAGATAACTTGTCGAAGTCCACACAGCTAGTTGGTGTCTTTGAACCTCTGTCTGTTGCCCACGTTCTAGTCCTGTGGACCAGAAGAAAAGGAACGTCTATCCCCTACCATGGCCTCCTTTCCAAGTTGTCATAGGTATGCTGAGGTATTGATCTCTCTGCCTTCATGTTTACTGGAGTCCCGCGACCAGCCCCTGGCCCAGCACCATCGGTATGCTGTAAAAATAATTTTTTCTGTGTGTGTCAGCTCTCACGGTCTTACTCCCATGGACCCCTTGGTCAGGCCAGAGATCAATGTATACTTTGCTTTTTAATGCCACTTGCACTCACTCTCTGATACAGCTCCCACTGCTTGGAGGCTAAGCCATCCGGTTGGCCTATCCTCTCTCCTCCTCATCCACCTCCCTCCCTCAGTTGCAGAATGGCTTGGGAAGCACCCCTGGTTTCCTTTTCACATCTGTCCATCATCCTGGAGCTTTGGAGGCCACACGGCATCTCAGTTCCTTGACCGGCTCATCTTCAATAACTTTCTCCTCCATTCCACTTCAGCCAGGACCTCACTCTCACACCCTACTCTCTTCATCTGAGGTTATTCGTTAAGACATCCATCTCTGAGGATAACCTCCATCTTTCTGCCTGCCTCCTGCCATCACTGACTTCCATTACACCTCTCCTAGGACCTTCAGGCCAGTGACATGAGCCTTTCCTGAATTCTCTTACCTCTCTAGTATCCATTCTGTGGCCCTTTGTTTTAAGCACTCTTTAAAGCTGAGATCGGGACTGGCCCTGTGGCATAGCGCTTAAGTGCATGAGCTCCGCTGCTGGCGGCGCGGGTTCAGATCCTGAGCATGCACTGCTTGTCAGACCATGCTGTGGTGGCGTCCCACATAATGTGGAGGAAGATGGGCACGGCTGTTAGCTCAGGGCCAGTCTTCCTCAGCAAAAAGAGGAGGATTGGCATGGATGTTAGCTCAGGGCTGATCTTCCTCACAATAAATAAATAAAATAAAAACTCTAAAAAAAAAAATCATTGTTAAAGCTGAGATCTTAAACTCCTGACCCCATCACACCTGTCTGGCAAAACTCCTACACCATCAACTGTCCAGCGTCTAGGGTAGGCTTCATACATAGGCACTCAGTAAGTATCTGTGTACTGACTGAAGTGTAGCAATAGTGGTAAGCATTTTATACACATGTGAGCTACATGCCAGGCTCTATTCTCTGTGAATAATATGTATTAGCTCCTTCAATCCTCACAACAACACACTGAGGTCAGTTAGGACTTTCGTCATTCCCATTTTACAGATAAGGAAATTCAAAGAGGCAGCTTGGAGAGATGAAGTCATAAAACTTGTCAGTGGTAGAGTGGATATTCAATCCTTAGAACCCATAAATGCTTAGCATGTCCAGTTGATTTCAGTTTTAGATAGTTTGTTTTATGTGTCTGAGGGACAATCAGGCAGCTGTGCTTCAGACTGGAGCTCAAGAGAGAAGTGAAAGTGAAGATTAATATTTAGGAGGGGACAGATAACCCGGTGACCTCGGAAAACAGAATATCCAAGGTTGTTCACACCCTTTTCTTTGACAGAGCGCCCCCAACAGGCCCCCAATGAAACTGTGGTGGTGTGTGTGAAGGAGCGCATTTGGGTGTTAAGGTGCATTTTTTTTTCCCCCATACGAGCTAAGATCTATCCTATTTGAATACATGGGGGTGGATCCCTGGTGTATTTGTTGGTAACTGTAATATTGGGTAAGGATCTCCAAGGGCTGAAATTCAGCCTTGACTTTTTTTTTCTCCTTTCGCTAAGGCGCATTTTTCAGGGAGAGTTTCTGGACCATCTCTCGGCTAGGAAAGATAGTATATCCTTCACCGTGGCTTCCCCTACTGATTCTCTCTGAGATAGACAGAGACCTCAAACTATGAGCTCCTGTTCTCCGCCAGTCCTCATATCTCATGGAAACTTCCCTACAGTTCTTGAGGAAGATAATTATCATCTCCGTTTTACAGATAATGAGTAATAACTAACATTTACTAAGTGTTTATTACGTGTCAGGTACTGTGTCGTGTTTTTAAAGCATCATCCCATTCGAGTCTCACAGCAATACTCTAAAATTGGAACTCTGTATGGATGAGAAACCCGAGGGTCAGAGAGGGGAGGTGTCCTGTCCTAGGATACACAGCAAGCTAGAGTTGGCATTTGAACCTGGGTCTTCTGACCCAAAGGCTAAGCAGCCTCATCACTTATTTCTGGATGAACTGAGGGCTTTTTTCTGTGGAAGCGGGGAGAAAGGAGAAGGAGATTCGAAGGGGAATGCTAACGTTGATTTCTACTTAACGCAAATCCACAAACTGATGTGATGATGTCTGACTCGCCGCTACTCTCTGACCCAGGATTTACCCGGGGCCGGGGAAGTGGCGCGCATGCGCACGGCCTCCCGTTCGGCCCCGCCCCCCCAGGGAGGGCTTCTCTCCTCGCTCCCGGCTCTGGGGCTTGCGCACTACGTCCCCAGCTAGCCGCTCCTTCCCGGTGGGGACTTCCGGTGCGCGGGGTGCGGTTCCGGGTCGTGGCGCGGCTCGGGACGAGAGGGCTGCTGCTTGTCCGGCCGGCGGCGGCGGCGAGCAGCGGGGGTATGAGGGCGAGCCCGGAAAGCGGCAGCTGAGCCGGCCGGGAGGAGTGCCAGTCCCCGAGGATTCCGAGAGTGCGGAGCTCGGAGCAGGGGCCGGGAGGCGCGAGGGAGCCGGGCCCGCCCCTCGGGAACGTGTCCCGGGGCCGACCCGGCCCGTAGTGTGGCAGCAGCTTCAGGTAAAGGTTGCCCCCGCCAGCTCCCTCGCTCGCTCTCCCGCCAGCCCACCCGAGGAGCCTGGTGGCCCTCCTCGCCCCTCCGCTCTCGGCGCTGCCCGGCAGGCAGCCTGTCCGGCCCTTGCTCAGGTCCTCCGTGAGCATCCGTTTCCTGGCCCTCTCCGTAACTGGAGGCTGCTGTGAGCCTGACAGCTGGGCGTGCGATTTGGGGGAGGAGAAGCTAGTGGACCTGGTAGTGTTGAGGGGGTTGGAAGGGTACTGTTGGCTCCGGCAGTTTCTGGCCCTACACTCAGCATCTAGGTGTCCTAGTCTTCATAACGCGAAAATCAAGTTTTTACAGCATTGCCTGTGTGGTCCCTGTTTCCTAGCGCCCCTTCTCCCTATTGCCCCCAGACGGCCTCGCAGAACTGTGTTTTTCTAGCTAGAGTGCTGCTGGAACTTTGGTTCAGCCTTTTGTTTATGGGAGTGGCAAGGAGTCTTCTAGGTCTGTTTAAGGCTGGAAAAAAAAATGATTGTAGTTTAAACAAGAGTATTACTTTAACCGGAGACCCATAAGTTGACTCAAAAATTAGTTAAAATTTCGTTCTGAATGAGCGCAAGTAATTTTTGAAGCCTGTCAGTACCTGGCACTGTGCTAAGCGTCATGTTATAAACCAAAACCAGCAAAGGTGGGAATTTCCCCAGGTGTGAACAGTCAGATGGAGACAAGTGTTTATACACATCAGTTCAAGTCAACATTCTCATTCTATTTTGACAAACAGAAGGGGTGGATTCCTAATTTAAAAACCCACTAGAGCAGGAAAAGGAGGCACCATGTTTTATTCTTCATAGTCTATGAGCCCACACAAGGTGCTCCGTAAAGGCTGAGAGTTCTTGATGGAGCACTGATAATTGTTTTCATCTTTTCGATATACGCACTGGCAAGCTTGCTGGAGCCTGTGAGGCATGCTAGTGGCCCCTTTGCCATTCAGCTTTGTACTCATACCTTCCTTCAGCTACTGTGATACGAGATTGCACTCACACTCCTCTGCACCTCCTGATCTGGCTCCTGGCTAACTTTACAGCTACACGTGAAAAGGCCTCTTTCCTTAATTACCCTACTCTTATCCTTTACTCTGGATAAGTAGGACCTCAAATCACTTTTGTTCTTTGTTTTGTCCATTGTGTTTTGTAGGACATTCTCTCTGCCTAGAAAGTTTCTCCTTTTCGATTTCCACCTACTGAGATGTTACCTGGGGCCCACTTGAAACTGGCCTCCCTCAGCCAATTCAGGACAGCCCCAGCTGGAAATGATTTCTTTTCTCAAATCCTGTAAACACTCATTATTACATCTGCAATTATTTCCTGCAGGGAGCTCAATTTAGTTAAGGAAATAATTCCAACACAGAGTGATAAGTACAGTGTGAGTTCTGTCTGTGATACAGTGGTAGCCCAGAAAGGGCGTGGGTCATTAACTTTTGAGGAGTATGCTGTGGCCAGGTAATGCTTCATAACGTGTGGTTAACTAAGCTTTATTATTTACTATGTACTGGATATTATACATAGATTTCTCTTCTTCAATCATTTTAACCTCAATTTCCAGATTAGGAAGACTCAGGATAAATTACATGTCTGGTATGAGGCAGAGCCTGGAGTCAAACCCAGCTCTGTCTGATGCCTACATCTGTGCTTTTTCCGTTATGTGTTTGCCTTCTTTCTCACACCATAGCTCTCTATGTGCAAGTACATATTGAAACAACTAGACAAGATAAAAAATATGAATGTCAAAATAAATGGTACAGATAGTCTTTTAAATGTAGAGAAGACTGTGAACTTCCAAGGCAAGAAGGTGGTAGGTGGGTCAGCTCAACTTTGAATATGAGCGAGGAAGACATTCTGTAGAGAAGTATGGGCTCTGGATTCAATTCCTGGTCCCTTCTCTTACGAGATATGTGACCTTTGGCAAGGTTCTTAATTCTAAGCATTATTTTCCTCAAGTATGGATTGGGGTAGGAGGATAATATTGATCTCATGGAGTGTTGTGAATATTTAATGAGCTAATGTAGATACAGGGCCTGATAGATGGCAAGGCCCGCTGAAGTGATAGCTGTAAGATGTGAAGGTGTGAGGCCCGTGGCATGACATTAGAGTGGTGAGTAGACAGCCTGAATCCAGCAAACCATTGCTTCTTTTAGTGGGGACACCAGGAGGTGAAGTTGGAGGGTCACTAGGGGTCAGAGTCAGTGAGGGCTTGAGTGTCAGGCAAGAGGGGCAAATTCTAGTTTCTGCTCATAACTTTTCCAGTTAATAAACACTTTGAGGATCTGTGATTCATTCAGCAGTACCAGGGCAAATGTTAGACCCTTGGGATGCAAAGAGGAAGAAAACAAGGTCCCCACCCTGAGGTTGTTGACATTCCAGTGGGGGAGACGAATTTGTGTGCAGATGAACGGTAGTGAAGTACTGTAGGTACTAAGATAGCAGTCCCCATGGGGTACCATGGAGCACGAAGGAGGGAACACTGATAATGGTGGTTAACGAGCACTTACTGTGTGCCAGCATCATGTTAAATGCATTATCTCATTTATTCCTGTACAGGAAGGTGTTATTAGCATCCTGATTTTACAGATGAGGGCACTAGAGCACAGAGCGGTTAAATAAATTCCTTGCAGGTATTGGAGCTGTCAGTGGAGGGGATTATCTGCTAGACTTTGGCATCTCCACTCTTCATTACTACACCGTGTTGTTTCTGCTATGTGCTGTGGATGGGGACCCTCTGGAGAGGCTTCTGAGAGGAGCTAACCCTTGAGCAGTGACTTCAGTGTGCCGGTCACTGTGCTAGGCTGTAGGGATAATGAGGAATGACCGTGGCCTCTGCGCTCAAGGAGCTCATCGCCTCATCTGTCACGTTAAGTGCATTTCTTTTTTTTAGTGGGGCGTTTGTTTTGCTTGTTGGTTCATACCTGAAGACTTTAGAAGCTGTTGCAGTTTAGTGGATTTATATATACTTCAGGCTAAGAGAATTTGCTGGAAATCTTTCATTCTGATGTATAGGCCTTATTGTTAAGGACACAGCAGTAGATACCAAATTATTATATGACAAGGAATTCTGCCACTTTACATTTTTCCCCATTAGAGGTGCCCTGACTTGTGTTTTCTCTGAATTTGAAGTTTTTGAGAAGTTTTGACTCAAAAGTTAGCACATTTCAGCTTATGTTAAATTTAAAATAATTGAGCACTTATAGTCATTGTTAAGTGTTTTTGTATACCTTATTTCCTTCAATCTTCATGATTCTGTGAGATAGGTGGTATTAACCTATTTAACACATGAATAGACTAAGGCTTAGTGGTTAAGTGTGTTACTCCAGAGTCATACACTAGTGAGTGATGCTGCCAGGAAAAATTGGCCAAAAAAGAGTCAACAAATATTTACTAACCTAATTCTCTTTTGAGCATGTACGTCAGGGGTCTCCAACTCAAATGCCCGTGATATAATGTAAAGAGTAGGGCAGACCCTGGTGAACTGGCGGGCGTGTGACCAGTCTGAAGGCAGCAGTCGCTGCTCTGCTCCAGTTTGTTGCTGTGTGAGGAAGTGGGCCCAGTGTCCCTGGATCCTCTGATTGTTTTCAAAGAGATGCTGGAAATCTGGATTTTAATGTATTTAGTTGAAAAATTTGCCATTTAAAAAATTTTTGTGTAGACTAAAACACATTTGTAGGCTGTGTACAGTCCTAGGCTGCCTGATTGTGAACTCGGATCTACCTGATCACTGAAATTTTGGTACCCACTGTTCAAAGCAAGAGATAGAAAACGCGTTGTGATTATTGATCTGAAGTCTACTGGTAAATAGCCAGAGTGAGGTGGTGCTGTAATCGACTCATACTAATATCTTTGGAGAGGTGGCAGGGTGAATGCTTTTGTTATATCATCAGGCTGAATTGCAGGAGGCATGGGGTTGGGGTGAGAGGACCGTGTAGTACTTTTGTTTTGTGCTCTTAGCACTTTAAATGCTACCAGATCACCTGTCTCTTTTGGTCCTCTCTACAATACCATGAAATGAACAAGGAGGGTAATTATAACCTCTTAAGATGAACAAATTGGCGCCCAGTGAATTACAGTGTAGTGGAAAATATACTAGATTGAGAGAGACTTGAATTCTGAATGCAACTGTGTCACTAGCAGCATTGTTTTTTTTTTTGTGAGGAAGATCGGCCCTGAGCTAACATCTGCCAATCCTCCTCTATTTGCTGAGGAAGACTGGCCCTGGGCTAACATCCACGCCCATCTTTCTCCACTTTATATGGGAGGCCGCCACAGCATGGCTTGACAAGCGGTGCATCGGTGCGCGCCCAGGACCAGGATCCGAACCGCTGAACCTGGGGCCACCGCGGCGGAGCGCGAGCACTTAACTGCTTGTGCCACTGGGCTGGCCCCTCTAGCAGCCTTTTGATTTTGGTCAAGTCACTTAGAAATTTGTGTATCTTTTTTCCCATCTGGATGATAGTGAGGAGCTCAATTCAAGTCTTGCTGAGGTCTTTTTAGGATACCGAGCTTTCTGATTCTAATTGACATGCTAAAGTCACACAACTGATTACTGGCAGACCCCAGTGGAGAATGGTTCAGATCTAAAATACTGCTTCTCCTCTCTTGATGGCAGGTAGGGAGCCACTGCTCAGCTCTTCCCTCTGTTCTTTGTTCATTATTTCTTCTGGGAAAGGACCTTGACAGGCCAGGTGCTCCCCAAATGCGTACAGTGCTTTGTTGACTATATACACACAAGATTGAAAGGGGGCATAGAGACACCCAGCATAGTAAGGGAAATATGGTCAGGGAGTTCTCAGCCCGAGAGTTTAATTTATTTTTATTTTAATACCCAGCTTCCACAAGGTGAAAATTGAAGAAATATTGGTCTTGCAGATACTTGTTTTCATTCATACTCTATTGTATAAGGAAATAACATAGAATATAAAAACGAAGAAAATAAATCCTGAGCAGTCATTCAAAATTTATTAACTCTAGTTGGC